TTTTTTTTTTTAATCAACCATCAAATTTCATTGACAAAACTCAACACAATTGTTCTTAATTGTTATAAACTAAATATTTTATTTGTGGTTTGCATGGTTTTTTGACCCGAACAGGTAACCCGGCACCCGATCGATTCGGAGTCAGAAACGGTCCGAGTAAGCTATTTGGACCGAGCAACAACGAACTCAGTCAAACCCAGTCAAAACCTGGCCAACTCGAGGTATTAACCCGGCCGGGTCAACCCTATATATATATATTTCAACTTTTAATTGTATTTTATTTTTTAAAAAAAATAAAACTATGAATGTATGTTTATATGGTAAATATTTATTATAAGATACATATTATTAATACTTTAATGTATAAATTTTATACACAAAAACATTTAATTTTGTTACTTTTATGTATATTTATATGACAAAAATACTCTATATATAATTTAAAAAATTTTAAAATTAATTATCAGGTTCAACAATTGAACCGGTGACCCGGCGGTTGACCCAGTGACTCGGTGACCTAAAGACCTGCCTGGGTCAATTACAGGGTTAGGTTTAAAAATTATGGTGGTTTGATGAATAATTAGACATTTTCTATTTTAAATAGATCGTAATTTATGTTATTCGGGCAACATAAATCATAATTAATTATGATTTATTATTTGATCTATTATGAATGGGTTCAAGTTGTGATTAAACATGACCAAAACTCACTTTCGGGACGTTTCGGACCGTGTTATAAGGGTCGTGAACCAACTTTGGACAAATACGGACCGGTTCAATAAATTGGTGGTTCCTTCCCGGTCCGGTTTTATAAAAAAATAAAAACATTAACAATTAAAAAAAGTTGAATTGTCGATTTCGATTCGAAATCAGAACTATTAGTCCAAATTTGTGAATGCTTATCGCAATCGGCTCAAATAAATTCGCGAGCCGTTCAAGGCCTGTGGTCTGCGGGCTAGTTCGGCCCGTGATCATGTTTTTTTTGTGATCGGTATCTTATATCTTGATGGAGATGAGTTAGATGATTAGTCATATGTTAAAAGTTTAAATATTTCAAACATAATCACTATAATACCATTGTACACTTATCAAGTTAAAATCGAATTCCTTTTTTTCTTTTCGTAAGTCAAGTCGAGAGCAACTGATGCGGACTGGACTTTCGAGTGGAAATTAGATCGTGTGGATGATGGTGGCGAAGTGGATTTTCATGCACTTCGAGTAGAATTAATTAAGATAATTTTGATATAATTAATTAAGATAAATCATGTTGGTTTCTTTTTTAAATTTTTAAATTTGAATGTTGTTTGTGTGTATTATAAATAGGACATTTGTATGCATGTTTGAAAATAAAAGTTTTATGAAAAAAAGTTTAAGAAAAAAGCTCGTTTTCGAGTATTGTCTTTGTGAAATACCAAAATCGATAGTGCAGTTTTTCACTTATTATTGTGTCAACCAGTGTCGTCAATGCTGTTGGAAAAATCAGTTATAAAATTTGGGTTTGACCCTGTAACGCCCAAATTTTTATCTACTATTTATGGAGCTCGACTATATTTCCATAAATATTAAGTTTCTAAATTTGATGCATTATATTTATTTGCATAAAATTAAATAATTAGTATTAAAGTCTAAGCCATGAATAATTCATTCCACTTTAATTATTAAAGTCGGAATTTTATTTAATAAAACTAAAGCCGGATATTT